TTTTTTCCCCGCCCCCCGAAGGAATCGTCTGATGGAAGTTTTCAAATCACAATGGAGACTCATCACAGAGGTGATGAGTCCGCTCACCATGCACTTTGGGTCGGCCTTGGTCAAGCCCTTTTGACCCCCCCAGCCTGGTTCTCGTAAAAGTTGACAGCCATTTTTCGCTCAAATGACACCATGGAGGAATGTAACGGGAGTTGACAGGGGACTCTGCCCACCTCACGAGTGCCTATTTTGTTGGCTATTTCACCCAGTTCCTTCTACCGGGGACACTGCCCGGTCTCGGGTGTCCCCCCCACAGCCTGTGTCCAGGCATTTCCCCCCCCCACTCATCCATATATTAACGGATTTTGACCATTTTTGTTTCATTTTTCTCCTCTCCTCTCACTGATCGAATGGCAAACGCGACCCACCATCGGAGGGCCTCCACCAGCCCAGCCTAGTGCCGGTGCTCTGGCGGTCGGTTCCTCCAAACTGCGGGTTCAACTCTGATGGCCGGGAGGGTGTGCTGCGTTGGGGTGGGGGACTTCCCCCACTCTACGTGTCTCTTCCTTCCCGGGCCGGTCGATATGAAGCGTGACCAAGACGCACCGTCTGACTCAGGGGTCCCACCACGGGTCCAGCAGCGGGGTGGAGGTTCCCGGCTGGAACCTCTCCACCTCAGATTGATCCAATCACTTGCCAAGTATTTTTGAAATACTTTTCCAAATGGCTTCCAATGGAGCTTTCCTAGATGGTTTGGTGAAACAAACCATCTGAGTCAGGTTAGTAATGCTAACCATCGCATGTTTTACATCTATTACAGGGTGAATCTTTAACTGAAGCTTGACTTTAAAGCAACCCAACGGAAGTTTCATGTAAGTTTAGTTATTTCACTCGTAGCTCAGGCTGCGGGGGTGCTAGAGACGGGAGCACGTTGATACGACCTTCCTAGACGGAGATATGGCCGCATTTTACAATAAACTTCCGTTGGGTCGCTTAAAAACAAATATCGCAAATCGAATAATCGCAATTAGATTATTTCCCCAAATCGTGCAGCCCTATTCACCACTTATATGTGGCATTAGGTGTTGACCCCTATCTCCCCCTGAACAATCCACGTCCCCTACCCCTCTATATTGAAATATTATGGATCAAAAAGAGTTTAACATGATGTCCCAAATATTTATTTGTTTGTGCAACTATTAAACATTCCATCAATTTTCACCCATTTCCTAAACTGCAGGCACTGACAAGGAATCCCAGATGATAAGTTAGCTTTGAGAAAAAGGGTGATATGCTCACAGATGCATCCTGTTTCTAAATATCATTTCTTGGTTCCTCTTAGAGACAGCACGAGATAGAGCTTAAAAGAAGGCTAAAGGGAAGGGGATGGAAATGACTGTACCTACTCAATGTAGGAACTGTCCAGCTCTGCAGATATGTCACTGGAAAAAATAGCTAACCACACAGTGTCAAGATAACAGTGTCAAGATAACAGTGTCAAGATAACAGTGTCAAGATAACTTTTTTTAAAACATTAAGAGGAGATGGTGTTTGTTTTGAACTAAATTGGCTGATCTTTCAAACAAGTCTTTTACAAGGATATCCTGTGCTTTTCCTTACACTTCCAATTATAGTATTAACTGTTCAGCTTGGACAGAAACAGACACCCAGCTCTTACCATGACACAGATTGACGAGCAAGGGTCACAATATGTTACCTTTGCGCTCCAGGTAGAAAAACCAGTCACAGCCACTTCACATGATTATATGATGACATACTTCTGACTGCTTGCAGGAAGGGTTGTTTGTAGGGTTTTGTTTTTTATGAGATCATGTGTACGATTGGACTCAACATCATGTTTAAAGTGTTAAGTGTTGCTTGAGAAGACAACAACAGTGGCTGACCGGTGTAAACGCATTACAACGGCCCAAGACATTTCTATTCGGTGAAACGTGCTGCATTTTTTTGGAAAGATTACTGTTGGCAGAGTTAGTCTGTTTCATAATTGTGTTTTGTCAGTATATCAGATATGACTAGGTTAGCTATGTTAGCTTACACCATAACATCGTAAGAAATCATGTGTTCACATTTTTTTTAAAAGACGATAAAACTAAATGTTAGGTAAGTTTCCATTGACAGTTGGGAGACCTTATAATCCCTAATCATAAACAAGAAATCTGGTCCTGTGCATCACTTTTTTTTCCCGTATTAGTTTTGAGCTTCTTGCAGCGTTTTTATATTTGCAGCTTTTCGTTTATGCAGCGTAATTAGTAAACACTGCGAGTTTTGTTTTCTAAATGTGATGTCAAGTTGGTGAAGATATTTCTTCATTAGCATGTGTTTCTGCACATTCCTTTTTTATATTTGCATTGTTTTTTAATGTGCAGCGCTTTTCTTCTATTGCAGGTGTTTTGAGCCGTTGTAGCAAGTTTGCACCTGTCAGCCACCATAGCCAATGCTTACAAAATAATCTAAATTATTTAGTTAACTGTTATTTAATCATAGTGACTAAAACAATGGCTTCTGTTACGCTAATAGCAGGTACACAAAAAGTATTTTATACTGTGATTTTGTGTTTCATTTGATATTCAAGTCAGGTGGTGGTAGCTAGGGATGCTCCGATCGCCGGAATCAGTATCGGCCGATACCGATCGGGTGGGTGGGGGCTATGGGGGTCTTCCATTTAAAGTGATGTTTAAAACTCAGTTAAAAAGGCGTATTCACACAAAGGTTCATGAGTACTTAGTTCATGAGAACTCTTTAGTTCTCATGAACTAAGTACAGATCGCGTTCACACCGGAATAAGTTCCTGGGGAAGGATTAGGCAAATGAAGCCACTGACGTCACTTCTTCTTCTTCTGCTTTGGGTTTACTGGCAGGCCGCAAACCACTTCACGGCGTATACTGCCACCCGAAGTCCCCGGTCGGAAGTCCCCGTTGTTGGGGACTGGCTTCTACTGAAGCCTTCCGAATAAATCACCAGAACGCCGACACCTCCTCATCTCCACCGCCCCCATGTTTTCTTTTGTGTTGCCATAAGTTGTCTCTCTGCGTTTGTGTGCTGGGCTAATGCTAATAATGCTAATGTGAGGATAATAAAATGGCGGCTTCACAAAACGTTTTGGGAGTTTTACGGGGCGTGGTTTGCAATCCGCTCAGCCAATCAGACATAGGAACCTTTTTCTCCCACGAAAGTACCTGCTCTCTAGCAGGGACTGAAAAGGGGGAAAAAAAGGTTCTGATGAACTCATTTTAGTTCCGGCTCTTTTTGGTGTGAACGCGACATTTCGGAACTATATCGGAACTAAAGTGGGAAAAGTACTGCGGTGTGAACGTGGCTAATGGGGCTCATTTTTATATTACTTCAGTTTATAATTGTAACGGATCAAAAAGTTCAGATGAATTTTTCAATACATGATGCGCTTCCACAAACAACAACCAACATAATTATTACATTACAATTAAGTACATTATTCAAGTTTACATTAACTTTGGATAATAACACGGGAAAAATTAGCGGAAGCGCTCTCTTTTCCTCTCCCCTGACAGCATCTCATGCAGCTCACTGATCCAGTAATGAGTGACCCGACAGTGAAGAATAAACATATGTATAACTAGTATAGCTTGTTCCAGAGGTAGATAAAATAGCGAAGTGTGTTCGGTCTAACTCTTAGTGTGTGTTGCTCCGCTCACCGGTCCGTCACAGCGGGCGGAGCTGCAGGATTTCTGCTTCACACACGTTGCATACCGCTATTTTACTGTCTTTTTCGGACACCTTAAAATACTGCCAGACCGGTGAAGCGAGCTTGTTTTGCCGTGCACAGAGAAAAGTGTCATGTATTTTACATCATGTGATCGGCTCTCCTGATCGGCCTTTATAGAGAGCACAGACCGATCGGCAGAGAGTGAATATCGGCCAATAACGATCGGCGGTCGATCGATCGGAGCATCCCTAGTGGTAGCTATTCACATTTTAGAATGTGAGAAAATACACCCAAACTATTCAACGTCTATATCCTATAAATGAAAACAGTAGACAGAATTTGATCAATAAACTTCTTGATTTATAATTGTTTATGTGTAGCAAGGCCTGAAGGGTCTAATTGGCTAGATAGGTTCGCTTATCAAAGGATGTTTCTTATTATTACTCTGTGATAAATCATCACTACACCTTTTGTGAGGTGAAGAACATCTGCTGTATGGAACACCTTTGGTGACTTCCTCAGTCCCTGACTGTGTTACATAGAGGAGATTCTTGTTTCAACATATTAGAACAAAAGGCTTTGTTGAGCCATGAAGGACATTTATAATGTGTTCAAGAAGCCTGTTGACATCCTCAAGAGCTGTACTGGGTAGGTGCAGCAATTGCACAAGACATCGTTTACTTAATGTGTCTATCCAGCAAGCAATGTTGTAGTTTGTTTTAAAACGGTATGCAATTCAGTCAATTAATCAATGTAAACACAAAACTATCGTGTCTCTAAGCCACTGTATAAAGAAACACGTGTTGGTTCATTTATACTGCTGCAAATACAAGTTTTCCTATTCCTTTTTAAATCCCCATCGGACAAAAGCAAACTGCAGCTGGATCTTGAGTATGAAGCAGTTGAAGCAGAATGACAACTATAGCTGGATGAGTTACAAGATGGAAGTATTAATTCCAGCTATGGACCAAATCCCCGGTTCCCTAAGTAAATACCAATGTGTGCATAACATGAAAGAGCCGCGCGACCTATGTCAAACAAACTGCATGTAGTTTCTTGAGAAATTAGTGGATGTTTAGGGTGGAAACTGAGCTTTTACTGTGGAGAGCAAAGCAATTACAAGCCCATAAAAGTAACAAAGCTGGAAGAGCTGCTTCACTGATGTGTCTTGAGTTGTAATACCAAACAGAAGAGGGCGGGTGTCCTGTCCCTGAAAATACCAGTGCTCAATGTAAAAAAAAAAAAAAACAGTTCCACATTACAGTGTGTTTCTGGACAGACACTGTAATGTTTATGTTCTGTACATACCTTCTGCAATAAGCTCGTCCACGGTGACCTGATACCGGCCGATTGCAAACACTTTGCCCAAGTAGCTGCTGAGTCCGGAGCCGGAGCTGGACGCCCCTCCGAGCCCGCCGCTCTCGGACTTTGGCATTCTGGAAAACTTCTTCATCCTTTCCTTTCTCCAAATGCAATCCCTGTTATGAGGGGTTGAGTAACCACACAGTCCAAATTATCTCAGTTGTGTCCGACGTCCCCTATCTACTTATCTGAAGTATTTTCTTTTCCTGCATGCTCCGCGTCTGGTTCTTTTGGAGGGACTACTGGCTGTCGGGTGATACGACATGAAAGTACAGTTATTATACAGGCGTCAGGGGTGGGATGATACTGCAGTCAGTCTCCAGAAGCTCGTACCAGTGACCGCATACACACATAAATGGCCAAAAGCAAAACACTAATGTTCGTTGGCTAATGAGACATCACTGTAGATGGCTGCAGCCTTTGCTAGCATGCATGGACTCGGCGGTGTGCAGCCAGGAGGCTTCGCCAACAATGAGAAGAAGGCAGGGGAGAGGCACAACAATGCAGCTGCCACCGTGGTTGATAACACCACTTCTGGCGGAAAGGAATTCCTCCCTTAAATATATCCAGTCCTCCAAAAGTAGCGGCGCCGCTCCACACCCCGCGACCCGTTCACTTCACTCGGGCGAAGCGGCTATGTAGCTTGTTATTAGCTGCTGTAGTTAGCTCGTAACTAGCTACGGTAGTTAGCGGCTAACGAGATTCGCTAGCAGCCACAGTGGTTCCTCCAATAGCAAATCCGCTCGGAGTGCAGGTGGGCTAACAAAGTAGGCAGCCCGAACCTCACACAAATAAGGGTCCGCGTCTCCCCAGAAGCCCTTCCGGCTAAGGCGTTTTCATTCGGGTCACCTGTGTCATCTCCACTAACTCACATTTGGGCCATTTTTAGTGGAGCTTCGTGAAAGCTAAAACTTCTCGTGACTCCTCAGCGGTAGGATACAACATAAGGGTGGTTTGTTATTTACCCAATGAGAGTGACAACCTAACCTGACATGGCCCCGCCCCCTACCATTGTTATGATTGGTTTATGAGGAGAAAGTATGGAAGCCAATTTATACAACAGAGAGACACTATTGAATGAACTTGTGGATAAACAAAAGTAAACAAAATGCCAACATTATAAAATAGTAAATAGTTCTCTATTCAGTTCTCTATTCAAGTGTACAATACTTTGGATTTGAACTGAAGTCTCTTAAATTTGGATGACATAGTGCACCCTTTTACTGTTCTTAAATGATCCCTTATTAACCTCTTGTGTGAAAACATACTGTACCTAATACCTATCAAATATATATATATATGTATGCCATTTATCGAGCACAATGTACTGTGGTAAAATGTTACCTTTCCAATAAAACATAATCTTAACTTCATTCTCAGACAAACTAATCTGATAGCAACAAATAAGGGATTTAAACCATAAGAACAATACGTATCTTCCAAAATCAATTATATCATCAAGCGGCCATTAAACTAAAAAGTTCTATTGACCCAGATGACAGACCATTCAAAATGATGAACACACCACAGAATAAGAATCAAAATGGTTGATTCACCTGAAACAAAAAAAAGCGTTTTAATATGGTGACCCCGCATGAGTGGTAAAACAAAAACTATAACTGCTGTAAATGTTTTTACACTGTTCAATGCCATAACTTTAAAGTATGTCCTTTCCTTAATGGCAATGGGCTTCCGCTTCCCTAAGAAACACCCAGAAAATGCTGATCTATAAAATCATGGCATAAGTGAAAGACCAAGCTGTCTGGTTGAAGGAAATTCACTAAACGGACTGGAAAGAATTAAGTGCATGTTGAAATAAACAAACCTCAGGCCAAAGTCATGTGTTATCCTCAGTCACATTTATGTAAATTGTTAAACATCCTATCTTTGTGTCTTTGTTCTACCTGTTAAACAGTGCTGGTCTTTTTTAAGGCTATAACTTCCTCAGTTTGTGTTAACTGATCTTACAACACCCCCTTTGATTTTAATGATCATCTGCAGTGGAAAAACAATGTACATTTTCACCAGGCACAGCCAATGAGGAAGTGGTGTGATAACTGCCTCTGTGAACCAAAGGCTTTATGAACAAAGGCATGTGTGGAGGCTGGAGAGTCGACCTCATACTCATACACAATTTCAATCTTTTGTGGTCTAACTCGATGTCAACATCCCCCTAAAGTAACCTTTGTTCTCTATACATCAGCAACTAGAGGTGAAAAAGGTCTACTTTGGGTAAATGGTCATGCACCATAAGCACATTCAGGTCAATGGTTACAGAGGGAGCACATGGCTGAGATGGGGATTACATAAGAGATGAGGAGGAGCACAGTAGAATCACATGACTCTTCAAACCTCCATGTCTGGACACATCCTGTTTCTGCAGGGGGGGGATCTTTCCTCTCTGACACACTTACAGTACCATTGTCTGGCTGAGTGTGAGGTGTATGCTGCCACCTGTTGGTGTTTAAATACACAATTGCACACAGAAACTTTCAATACAGGAATATCCTCATTCAGCAAGTAAATATATCAAGAAACATCCATCATTCTGGGTTGTCGAGCAGAAAACTGAACCAGTTCTCAGGCTGACCTCTGACCTACTGGAAGTTTTGGGCGCAGTCAAGATAACTTTCCAATACAAGTTTGCTTCTACTGTACCAACATTAAGAGCAGAAAAAACACCAACCTTTCAAATCAGGATATCCTTTTTTTAACGTAATTTCAAAAGCCCTAAGAATATATTTTCTCACTCATCTTTTTATTATGAGTCATCAGCTGAAGTAAATGGACCTGAAAAAACAGATAAAATACAATGAGGACAAGTGAACTGGACCTTGAAGTTTGTTTTGGACGCATTGCTTACATGGCAAATATAAATGAACCACTCATAGTCAAGAGGTCATTGTTCTGTTTGACATAAGAAGTAGTAAGTCGTTGCACTCACATACCAAGTCAAAACGGACTGAAGTCCTGAGTCCTAATCTTTGAGTTTGCATCATAACAATTTCTTCCAGCACATTTTGTACATAGCATTTCATTTGTTGTTAATACAAATACATAATTTGTATCTTTGAGCTTGATGGATGGCAGCAGGTATTTTCAAGTCAAACAGCTCAAACCCAAATAAAGTCACAAGTCATTAAGTCAAATTGCAAGTCTTGTCCTATTTTGTCGAGTCAAGTCATTGACTATGTGACTTGAATTTTAACCACCAGAAAAGTATTTAAACAATTATCACACCTTTCAAAAATCAGGAAAAGCCAACTCTTCTAAAGTTTGGTATATGTGAAGGTGAGTTTTAGGATTTCATTTGGCCTTTGGTGTCACCATTTTTTTTAGGGCACAAAGGCCACATTACATTACATGTCACTTGTTAGACGCTTTTATCCAACTTACAATACTGTGGACAATCCCCACAGGAGCAATTTGGGGTGAAGTGTCTTGACCAGGGACACAACGACATTCTGACTGCAGTGGGACTCGAACTTCCTATCCTCTGAATCGAAGATCAGCACACTAACCCACTGAGCAGTAACCCACTGAGCAGTGAGCCACAGCCTTCCCTGGCCACATGCCAGGGGCACATAGGCTATTGAGGGAAAAATTATGATTTGGAGCTTACAAATAAATAACTTTTCTGAAAAACACACGAATGACACGGAAAACAAATCCCTTTTTTAATATCAATAATGGCAAACATTATAATCATATAGGCCTATGCCTCCTTAGTATTACCGTATATAAAATGAAATACTCTACTTTGAATAATTAGTGTTTGGTATGTTTTCTATCTACTACTTCTCCCATTCACAACTCCGAAATCAAATAAAAAAATCTAAAATTATATTAATATGTAACAAATATATTAAATTTCAGAGCAGAAGAAACAGCCTTCAAGGCTCAAACTCTGCACATAAATCATTCAGCAATGCAAAAGTCTGTGTGTGAGTGTGTGCGTGTGTGCGTGCGTGCGTGCGTGTGTGTGTGTGTGTGTGTGTACGAGAGTCTCTTTACATTTTTTCAACTCGAGCGTCAAATTCGTGTGACGCGTTCTCCCGGTAGCCAATCAGCAGTGAGGATCTCAGCCACCGGCGTTGAATCAGAAAACCAAAACATCAGCCGTTAGCTGTTAGCACACAGAGCTCACAACTCCTCATATCTGTTCAGAAACTGGACAAAAGTTAAACATGAACAAACCACAGACTGTCTGTGTCATGGCGAATACAGTCGCTGCTTTATTTCTGTCTTTAGGAAGTTGTTGTGAGTTTGGACGGAGCAGCTACAACGTTAGCTTAGCCTGATCGATCCGATCTCCATTCACAGAAAACACGCATTTTAAAAGATGTTTCGCCTGCCGTCTTGTCTGCACACTTGTCAAAGCATTAATTCATGGTTTTTACTAACCGTTATCAGTATGTTGTTACTTCGGCATCATTTTGAAACGTGTATTACAATTAAATCACGGTCAAATATGTTAATTGTGTTGTAGTATTGGATATAAGCCCCGCCCCCTCTCCAGCGCGTCCTGTTTGAATGACAGGAGTAAACAGCTGACAGCCGCCGTGAAACTCCAGTGATTAAAGCAATGCAGGGGCGCCGTAAGGGGGTGAAAAGTTAGGACGATTCTAAGGGCCGACAGGGGCCCCAAACATTTTTAGAACATTAAGAAAAATGTTTTAAGTAACCTTTCATCAATCATCAATAATTAACATTAATATAACGTTATATTGATAATGTATTCACTAAACTTACGATTAATTTACTTATTTTCTTCCAAAAGTTAATTATCCAAAGCATCAAACACCCCCTCTATTTACATGTAATGGTTTGGTCCTGCCTCCAAACGCTGTGCGGCACCGGCCCTTTCTAGCAGAGAGTGACGGAGCGTCCACACAGCAGCGTGCGTTGACGCTTGGAGGTGGGCGTATCTGAAGCTTGGGGATTTTTTGCGAGCAACACGACCAACAACCAATCACATGAATCTCTCGCCCCCGACATACAAAGCAATAGCAATGTTAAAACGAAGTAAACTGGATATAAAATCCCCAAACAGGCGAAAACCTACCAGTTTCACCCACTGTCTTTGCCTCCTCCCTCCATGCCTCGCTCCTCCGGTTTGTATCCCGGTAGATGAACAGAGACTGATCATACAGCACCGGGTGATTCACTACCGCTACAATGAATTTTCCCTCAATTTTTTTGAATATGAGGAAATTACCTGCGTAGTCTCTCCCAGCATACACGCAGTTTGATTGGCTAGCGATTGTACTGGCAGATTTGAATAAACGGGATTTCATTGGCTGACGCCTCCGTCGAGGCGTCAAAAGTTGAACATTGCTCAACTTTTGACGCCAGCTACGCCAGCAACGCTCCACGTCGCTTCCCAAAAGTGAATGGGCAGAAGCGTTGGAAGCTTCAACGCACGCCGCTGTGTGGACGGGCCGTGAGAGCATGTGAGGAGGGATGCTAGTACTTACGTGTGTACGATGTCTCAACGACTAACAAAGTCAGGCTTTCAAGAAAGAAAATAAAGGAGAGAAAGACAAGAGAGAGGGAATAAAGGGCGACAGTATGTCACCCAGTTTTTCACAAGAAAAAGTGGGTCTGGTCCATGAGGGGTGGAAATTAGTCTGTTAGCTAAGCTTAGTCCATTATAAATAATAATTCAGAGGTTTTTCATTTCACTCCTCTTTTAGCTGACATGTCATACATGCAGGTACATTTTTAGCAGGTATTCATACTAAATCAGTTGTCCCTCCCCTGGTGCCAGGACCAACTTTATCTTTAGGATCTTTAGGCTCCGCAGCCCTGTCCCCCCATAAGGCTTTGCAGTCTTGCCATGCTGTCCATTGAAAGCCAGTTGGCTAGAAAGCTGGACTTCAAGGACTTGATCAGTGACTTTGCCTGTAAGAAGGCTAGGCGCTGGGCTCTTGGTGAGTAAGGCTGAGCCAGGGCTCGTAATAACTGTTAA